ATATATATATAATATACATTTGTATATATCTTGAAAGTGGGCAAGTAAGTAGGGAGTTTGATAAGTTCGGGAAGTTGGGCACTGGATGCTTGCCAACAGTCGTCAAAGTTCTTTGTGTGGCTGTCAGGATTTTTGGAGAAAACAGTTCAAAATTTGTTTATACAGAGAGCATCAAGTCAATAGTAATTGTTATTGAAGTTCCCATAATTTTTTTTTTTTTTCTACAAACTGATTCGTCTAGTCAACGATGGAAATTTTTATTGTTCCATCGTTAAGCTTAATGTATATTTAATGTATTACTGCATTCGGTGAAGTTTAAGGGGTTTTTTTTAATTATTGTTTCGGTACAACGTTTTTTTTGTGTTCGATTCTGAGTACTGTTGATTTGGTATCGTAAGAGTCTCATATGCTGACCGCTTAAATTTCAAATTCAGCAGTTACTTGCAGTTAAAATTTATTTATTTATTTTTTTTATTCCTCGATGTCGTTAGAGTTTCCTTTTATTCGTTTATTTTCTCTTGATATGTACATCAAATTACAAGCGTTATACAGTCTAACAACTGAGGTAGTTGTGTATTACTGTACTTCACAATTTTTCTGCATTTTTAAGTTGAAGAAGTCTCATATTGACCAGGTACCTTAGAGGGTTAGTATAACAAATTCAACTTTATTATTAGTTATGCGTAATGAAAGTATAGAGGTAATGTTACTTAGTTCAATCTTTTTTATCTGTAAACTTACAGGTATTATTGCCGAAATGGCATCTTTAGTGGCGGAATATTTCCCAGAGCAAGATGCCACTCCAAATACAGATACTTCAAACTCGAATGAGATTGATGATTGTATGGAAAGGCATTATCCTGAGGTACAGTTTCTTTTTCTACACAAAACTCTTTGTTAAGCTTTAACTTGTCTTCATGTGTACTTTATGTTTGAGCACAAATGAGAAAACGCTTATGCATGTTTTTTTCCTCGTATCATCAGTGGCTTCTCTTGTAATTTGTGTAAAGTTCTTACAAATCATTTTTTACTTATTTTCTTTTCGTTGCATCTAGAGTTATTTACGAAATTTAAAAGTGAATTGATTACTGGTTGCTTAGTATTTGAAAACGCTTTATGCTAAACGGTATTTAAGTACGTCACCTTTGTTCCAAGCGCATTGAATTACATTGGAAAAAATGGATTGAGTTTATCGAATTCTGATCGATATACTAAGATTGGCGAACAGTCTCGAATGAGGTTCAAAATGATTAAGACCAACCAACTTTTGGTGAAGACTATATTGTATAGTTACGGATTTGAACAAGTGAGTGAATAACTGTTCCGTCATATCATCCTTGCTTTATTGTGTTGTAAGGCGACATTATTTCAATGCTCTGTTGATGAAATTTGCTTGTGGTTAACTTTTGAAATTTTAGTGTTCGGAGCGTAACCCAAATGTTAATTTGATTTGGTCTGCGTCTCATCTAAGTCCGTACACACTAAGGTCCTTAGGACCATGGTAATTATTTTTGGATTTTTCTTCTTCTTTATAATTTACCCTTTTTTATTTGCCATTGGATAATGAACTGCGAAGTTTTTGCATTATTATGTATTTACTTTGCTGGAGTTCGATCATTTTGAGGTTTAGACAACGATGATTGATTAGAAAGTTGTTTTTTTTATACGCAGTCTGCTGCGAATCTGAAGACTTTTTAACAATACAGGCAAAGGGTAAACCACTTTCCGCGGAGTTCTGAACTTACAAGAAAGGACAAGTTATACGAGAATGTTGCACGGGCTAGAAGATTGTTTGGAAATGCGTTTGACTTTGTTAGTTTTTCTTTCTCAGAGTTTACTCCTTTTTTTATTGTTTTCGTTATTTTACTCACTCACAATTTTCCTTTATTATAGAAAATTTTTTGTAGATTCCCGACTTTTTCGTCTCTCCACGGGAGCTTGCTGCGTTCACCAATAGCTATAATACTGGAGAAGTGACAAAGCCATTTATTGTGAAGCCTGTTGCGTCCTCTTGTGGGCATGGAATTTTTATTATACGCAAAGTAACCCTTTTTTAATGTGACATTTGGAGAGTAAACATTTATATTTATTATTTCAGCCTCAAGAAATACCAATGATCTCAAATTTGTTGGTGTCAGAGTATATATCCAACCCTTATCTTATTGATGGCCATAAGTTTGATCTAAGGTATTTAATCGGAGCACTCACACATTTTATAAAGTTTTTTAATAATTATTCATTTCTTAATTCTTAATTTTTAAAACTCACTTTCTGCTTGGGCAATCTTGTTTCAAAATAGCTATCTTAAGCTTCTTTGGCTCAAAGCAAGTAGTAACCTTCTATCTCTTTATTTATGCAGGATTTACGTGTTGGTCACATCGTTTCATCCATTAACTGTTTATATATACAAGGATGGTCTTGCACGTTTCGCTTCAGAAAAGTATTCCAAAGAGGATAGTACGTTTGAGGAGCAGTACTGTCATCTTACGAATTATTCGTTGAATAAATTTAGTGATCATTTTATTAGGTAAAAGTACTAAGCTAATTTCTTCGAGATGTTGTTTTGAGTGTTTCACGCTAGGCTTGTGAAGTATCACCCTGTGTTTTTTAGAAATAAATGTGCGACAGATGAGGACTCAGGTCACAAATGGACTTTAGGTGCGGCTTTGAGAAGAATGAAAGTTGATGGGGTTGATACGAAATGTATGTTTTCCGTATTTATTTCTGAATCTTTCCTTACAGTTCAGAAGTCTTAGTGAACTGGATTCTTTTGTAACACTTATTTTTTGAAAGTAACGTTGATCTTTGTGGTATTTTTCAGTATTGATGGTCCGGATTGAAAGCATAGTTTTAAAGACTTTAATTTCGGTGCAAGGCTCTATAACGGCTCGGTGCCGCAACTTACTTCTTCATTCAAAATGTTGCTTTGAGCTTTTTGGTTTTGATATCCTTATTGATTCTGATTTGAAGCCTTGGTTGCTGGAGGTCAATCTTTCGCCCAGCCTTGTATGGTTCGATTTGTGCATTATAAAATGCTCACAAGAATTTGTAGTTTTATTACTGTGCAGCAGTTAACTCTTCCATATCTGTAATTAGAAAGCTAGATTGCATACTGCTTATTAATATTTAGTGACTCACCATTGGACCTACAACTGAAATCAGCATTAGTCTGCGATACGCTAACGTTGGCGGCCATTCCTTTAGTTCATGGACGTTGCCCAGATAACAGTTTGTTTCAACCTTTTAACTGCTGTTGTTTTACCTTCGATTCTGAAGAAAACCTTGTATCTACCTTGCAGTTTGGGCGAGTTCTAATGTCGTGGGATGTAAAAGAACTCCTACTGCGAGAGAAATCACACTTCGACGTGCTCTCAAAATAAAGGTATTTGCGCGTTATAAATCTGTTAAACAGTTTAAGTTCAGTTGCTTTTTAACTCTTCTAGTTTGAATATTCTAAGCTGGTACTTTAAAAGGTGAAGTTGCGAAGGTTTTCAAGCTTATTTTTGTATAACTTTATTTTCTTTTTTCTTGCAAAGTGTTTTTTTGAGTAATGAGTCTTATTTGTGACGGTGGTAGAGGGTTTGAATCTCCTCAGTATGCTCTCGCTGATCTAGTTGCTATTTCCTGCCAATACAGTTAGCCGTTTGGTGACTTAGGGCTGTCATTTTGAGCGATTAATTTTTTCTATTCTAGAAATGATATTTTTATTTATCGCTGTCTGGAAGTACTTCACCTGGCAGAAAACTAATTTAAAGTGTTAAGTAGAATTATTTTTAGAAGGGTGCAATGCTTTCAAAACGTAGTTTCTCGTATAATGCTAATAGGCCGTCCCAGAGTTACGAGCGGAAAGCGAGGTTTTTACTGGAGCGGTTTAAAATTGAAGAGCAGCGTCACGGTGGTTTTGTTTGCATTTTTCCCAGAAGAAATTCATGGAAACTTTACAGGTAAGTACATCTGTATTTTTTCGGCTTTCCCTTTACCCCTTTCTTCCTCTAAAAGACGGCGAAGCTGCAGGTTACTTGAAACTTCTAGCGATATCATAGTGCTGGAACTTCTGCTTTTGATGGTCAAGAAGTGGCAGTAGCTCTAGTTTAACTTTAAAAGTAACCGCTTTTTTACTTTTTTGTGTCGTCAATACTTTTGAGTTATAGTATTTTATTTTACAGTTGTTTCATGGAAGATGTTGGTTTGGAAAAATGGGATTATCGTTTAAATCGGGATCTCTTTGGAAGTGAAGCCGTAGACAGTGTTGATAAGGTTTTAGCTGTTCGTGTTCAGCAACAACTGACTGACTGTAAAACGGTATTCACTTCTTGACGCTTTGATGTCTTCGTTTTTTATTGTTTAATATTATTGGTACAAGGATTTAGACTGCTAAATGTTTAGTACCCAACTTTGTCTAGTCTGAGTGACGATACAAGGCAGTTATTAGCTGAAGCCGTTTCTAATGTGTCAGCTTACGAAAGAAGGTTGACTGTAGCAGGTGTTAAATATGCAGGTATTTAAAGGATTTTCTGTATTTCTGTTTTAAAACACTGATTTTTCTGCATGAGATATACATGCAAGACTCCTGTTTATTTTTTTTTCTTTTAAAAAATACCGCTCTGGTCTCCTCATATTTCGCCGTTAATTCAGCTAAATTACCAAGAGTGCGTCCGGAGGCGAGAAAACGGTCACTGAGTTTCATGAAGAGTGAGGAGGACCTTCACGATATTACTAAAAATGGAATTACTACATCATCTGCTGACGATTTACAGAGCAAGCCTGTGGACGGAATAAAGTACTACGATTTTTTTTTTTTGAGACTATCTTAGTTAATAATTCATTTTAACTAAACTCACAACAACGTAGGCTTGCATCATTCTGAGAATGATAATCTCTGTTCCAGTTCATTTCCTAGTCAAAATGAAGTGATCGATCTTGGGACTGTTCTAAAAGTCTCAGGTTCTATGAATCATTGTTAAATGAGGAAAAACAATTTTATCTGTCCAGTTAAGGTAGGTTTCAATTATTTTCTTTTTTGCTGTTTCTTTTAAGTAATTAGTATTTTTTAAATATATTCTACGTTTCTCCGCAGCGTCGTTTCCGCAGCAGTTGCCGGTTAATAGAAAGAAAGTGGGCATCAGTATCTGACATTATTCAGGTAATTTTCAGGCGTGGTTCAAACAGTCTACCTCTAATGTTAAAGAACTTTGTTTTGTTTATCACGGTGCTTTCATTTTATTAGATAATATTTAAAGGCTGGATATTTGAGGTACTTTCTCACCTCTGTGCTAGACATTTTTTGATGTTGCTATTATGTTTCTTCGTCAGTTGAGAATAGCTCGGTAAAGTGATTCCTAATGATTAAGTTGGGAAATTTGTTCAAATGATAGAGTACAGTAATTCGCTGTGCTATTGTTATACGTAGGCTTTGAAACACCGGTTTTAACTGTTATAAAGACCACTTGATTTTTGTCAACCTGTAGCACTGTTGTAATGTTATATATCGTCACTGTGAGATTAACAATCTGCCGATGCATTAATTTGGCTTGTTCAGTTTGCCGACACTAGCGTTAAAAGATTTCTTTAACCGTTTATACTGCCTTGAGTTGTTCAAAAAGATGCAGTAGCTTTTCTTACAATTCTGAAATCAGTTATCTCGCTATATGTGTTGTTTGAGTTATTGGCTTATTTTTGAGCAGTTTCACTGAAAAAAAGTATTTAAGTTGTAATTCTTTGTAACAATATGGCTAATAACATTGTTACTCTCTCAAAGTTGTATTTTCCCCTTGTTATTGAATTTTCTTACTAAGTCATATTCAGAACTCTTTTTACTTCTGACCTTACCAGGAATTTTGCAGAACAGATTACTTTTCATTCTTTGTGATTTGCAGTCAAAAGGTTTGTTCGTGGATATTTATTTAGACTTGTTGGACTTTGTTGTTGAATAAGTTATTTGCGTTTCACTTGATTTGCTGTCATAACCGGTGAGATATGTTGCAGTGATGTAGTGCATGCTACTTTTTGATTTTTTTTGTACGGCAATTGTTGCTGCATTTTGAAATTTACCGTATGATAGAATGGTTCGACGTGTAACTTTTAGTTCCGAAGTGTTAAAGTTTTTAAAAATTTCCAATGGCCACTTGAAACAGTGGCCTGCAGAGAATGTCAGAAACTGTGGGAAAATTTTTCTTGCCGTTAAATTTTTGCTTTTTTTGTTTTGGAATGTCAGTTTTGCTGGGATGGTATTTGAGAACAGGATTTTCCCGGAAGTTGAGAAAACTTGTTCTTTTGGTTGCTCTTTGTCTTTCTGAGAGGTGTTCTTTCTTTGAGCATCATTATTTTCAAAAAACGGGTACCGCATGTGTCACGGGTTTTGAAATGTTTTCGGAGATACTGACTGTGTTAGTCCTATTTCATTTTTACACTATTGGTACCACACAGCGTTCGACTTGGTTGATTCAGGTTAGTGCTTTATTTTAGTTAGCGTTCTATACGTTGTCGTTCGGTACTCAGACAACTGAGTCTGGTATAGTTTGGCGCAGTTGTTAGGAGGTTTGGTTTGGGTTGGGTTGGTCATTGGATCGTGTTTGCTCTCCAGTATTCTCTTTCGGACGGTCGATTAGCCCGAGAGCTCATTCATGGAGAGATAATAACGTGGATTGCATTTGCCGTCTCATTGCTAATGATTCCGGCAACCTAAAGTCCATTATGTACAGATTTACGACCACTTCTACATGCTGGAGCCGAATTCGTTTTGTACTTTACTCAGTTATAGGTGTTGCAATCTCTGTTCTCTGCGTGCTTTGACTGATACGTTTTTGCATATAAAACAAAGAAGTGCTTTCATGTGGCTACACCTACAGTTCTTGGTTCTTATTTTTTTCTCATCCATCACGAAGTAAGAGCAGTGCTCAGTGATTTGATTTTTTCCAGCAGCCCTTAACAGTTACGAAACCAGAATGGCAACAGCGAATTTTCATTTCACCGCACAAACGTCTGATACCTGATTAATTTTAGAGGAGTAAAAAATTAAATTGATGAGGTTTAGTCATCGTTGAATGTTCAACTGATTATAGGAGAGAAACTGCAATCTATCTCCGATTTTGTTGCTTGTAATCCAATATATAAGAATTCAATTTTTTTAGTTGGGCAACATTATTTGTTCACCTGAAGTAAACTGTAAAATCTGTGGTACGTCTGGCTGCCTCTTATCTTTTTTTTTTCTTAAATACCTTTGGTGCGAAAGGATTTTACAAATCTTTTGGTCAAATTAGGACTTGGTTCACTTTGATCGAACATATATTCGACTACTCATGCACTATTGGTATTTCTAATCGTGCAACATCTGTGGTATTATTTGTTGTGCGGTCAGTGGGTGCTTGTTTACTGCTTTGTCTGTAGTTGCCTAGTTTTTTTGCAGTTACGATAGATCTTACTTCTGTGATTTCTTTTAAAGGTATTAGAAGTCTGTAGATCAGTTGAGATGTATTCGATTTTGAAGGTTTTTAATGAAACAATTGAGTTTTTTGGCAGTAATTGGTTTAAAAATTGAAGTTGAACATTATGTGGTTATAAAAGCGTTGGCATAAGGTAGAAGAAAGGAATATAAGGTTGTTTCTAAGTAAATGATCTAGTCAGTAATACTTTTCTAATTTTAAATTATCAGCCAAAATTGAAGATGGTTTTTTAAGTTTTTTAAGTTTTTTTCTTTCACCAACTGAGACTATGAATTTTTTATGAACTATTGAAGCCCGTTAGATATCTTTTTGAAAGATGGCACTTTATACTTTGGTTCCTTGTTCTTTCTTCCCTCTGTTATTCCCTTCACTGTTTCCTTGATTACGTTATGCTTAGACCTGGTTGCTCAAAAGTTCTTATTGATTCTCAATCTGGATTGGTGTTTGTAGTACGATTAAAATTACTTGTCGGATTTATTTGCTTGTCACTTCGCACCAGGCAACTTTTGAAGGCCGCTTTGAACGAATAAAAGTAAGAGTTTTTAAGACATCTGAAAGAATTCGTTATTCACTGGAGAGAATGTAATCTTTTTCTCGCTCTCACCAACTGCAACTGCTTTGTTAACTAACTAAACTTTTTATGTAGAGTTTTTTTATTTTCTTCCTCAAATTTTTTAAATGTATTTTTCTTGCTTTACAACTTATTTGTAATTATGAATTTTTCTGTGCTATACTTCTGTTTTTTTAGCATAAATTGCAGAAATGTTTCTTAGCATAGTGGTTAAATGAAAAATTCGATGAAAAGGATGGTTGCGTAGAAGTTTATAAAAGTCGCCTTGCTTTCTTTAAACAAGAGATTAACTGTTTTGAAATCCAGATATAACTTTAATTTTCCATCTTTCTTTCAGTCGTATGTAACTCTAAACTACTTCAGACGGCATGCAGACAGAATCCACAGCTTCGCATCTGTGGAACACTGCAGAAACCTAACTTCGATAGGGGCGATTTTTTTGCTGAGGAAGAAGAAGATGAAGACGTTTCCAAAGAAAAACAAGAGGATCAGGAAACTGTTGGGTTGAAAAGGTATATTGTTGAAACACCATTTGCCGATGCAACTCCTAAGAGTGCTGAGGAGGAGGAAACTGGAAATAAAGGTTTTTTCTTTAATGAACGTTCGAGGCACTTCAGAAGTTTAATTGTGTATCTTGAGTGTCATTTTTTTTTCACTTGGCTTTGACACCTTTGCTTATCTGCTGCTTAACTTTGGCACCGTATAATACTCATATAGTATTGATAGTGTAACAGTTAATACAGGAGAAGGGAGGCCGCTATTCAAGGAAGTGGATATTAACGCCAACAAAAACGCAAAAGCTTCTGGACAGTTTGACTTAGGTATGACACTACATTCACTGTCTTCTACTAAAAAGCATCAATTGTTTGGGAGAAATAAAAGAATTTGATTTACAACGACAACGATAATTTTTCATTGTTACTGAATTTCATAAATATTCCGTAATACTCTGATAACGTTCTCAGTAAACGGCAGTAAGTTTGTGTAAGAAAGGAGAAGAGAATATATTTTTCTTATTGCTAGATGAGAAGATGGCCGACTTTTTGAAGCAAGAGGAACAGTCTAAAAGCGGAACGAGAAGTTCACGAAATGAAGAGGAATCCAGAAGCCAAACTAAAAATCCGTGGAACGAAGATGAATCTAGAACGGGAACTAAAAATCGTTGGGACGATAACTCGCCTGAAAGCAGAATTAGAAGTTTGAAGAATGAGGTGTTTGAGTTTGGCGGACAAGTCGATGGGTCTGAAGTAATCTTAAGTGCATTTAACAGTCAACGTTCTTATAGTAGCAGCTGAATGGGGTAACAGACATTCGACTTGGTTGCAAATACCGTTTTGGAACAGAACATATTAGAGTTTCTATCAAAAGACAGCTTTGGATCGATTAGAAATCAGTTGAACTTAAAAACAAAGGAAGAATTCATGTCTGCGTCAGCACTCTTTTGGGTGCTCTTTTTACCCCCCTAATAAGCTCCACTTCCCCTGCTTTCGAGTTAGCCAAAGATGTTGGAACTTAGACATTTACAATTGAGGACTACACTGCTGTTATCTTCTACGCGGGGGAAGTAAGAGAAGTGGCATCTGTTAATAGCGATTGGCTAATATTTGTTTTAAATCTTTCATTTTTTCCCAGTGGAAGAAGTAATGTTTCTTTTAGTTATATATCTTTGAATTTGCTGAAAGCCCTTAATTTTTTAAAAATTGGTTTGCTTTTGCAGCTGATTTAAAATTTTCAGCCTAAAACAGTTCTCGTTGCTGTGAGTTCATTCTGTGTCAACGCACGTGAAAGATTTGTCAAACAATGTCGTGGAAAAATCGGGAGTGAAGACCTAGGCTTATTAAGTTTCTTATAATTTGTAAACTTCCCAGTCATAATGACTGACACACCGAAGCCAGATATTATACTAATTTATTATACTCTTATTATGCTTTTGAAGTAAGGCAAATTGTTACTTTACAGGCCGAGTTTTGTAAAAATTATTCTCAGTCTTGTGAAATTACACAGATTGTTATACCAGTGATTACTTACTGTAGACGATATTACAAGCATTTTGCGAAGTTCTGTGGCGATCCAGAAAATGTCACTGATAAGATAAGCAGTGTATGTTTTTTATATAAGTTTTATTTTATTCTTTAGAGTTGAGCGATGGTTGTCTATGTGAGGGAGGTTTTCATAGAACTTTTCCATTTCAGTATTACAAATGGTTAATGGTGCACAGTTGTACATTGAGACATTCTGCTGTATAAAGCTTTTGTTCCTGAAGATTAAAGGTTTTACGTGGAACTGATCTGGAAAATTTTTTTGTTCAGTAGAGATTTCTTTTACTCAAAGTGGCTAGTGGCAATTATTCACTAGTATCAGGAACTGGAGTTTTTAGTAAATGAGTTCTTCCACTCAAACCACTATTGTAGGGAGGCTAAGACATGATTGAGAAGTTAGGCTGAAAATCTTTACATCTTAGCCATTCAGGGTAGAAGTCAACCATTGACTAAGTTTGAAAATTATTCGGCGTCATTGAAAGCTGGTGTTACTCATGGTTTTTCAGACCGCTACAAAAGTTATGAAAACTAATATTGTTTAAGAACTTATTTAAACAAACTCTTAATCGTAGAGAATGATGGGGTCACTTTCTTCTGAAACTAATAATTGAGAGGTACTTGGAACGCAGCAACGTAATGATCCATATTTCCTCTCAGTGGAATTGCTAAAATTAAGTTTTTTTAAACCTTGCTCTTCTCCGTGCCTTGAAGTGGTCTAATGTTGGTTTAGAAGGATAGAGGATGTTTCCATATGTTATTTTGATTAAGAATAAAACGAGTAATTTTTTAAGACTTCAAACATATTTATCTCAAAAATTATCAAAATACCTCTCAATTTTATGCCGAATATCTGTGTCTGTTGAATTGATCTGGAGAAGTTTTTTGAGGTAGGGAGTTGGAGCTGTTTGTTGTTACACCTTTTCTAACTTTATAACCTTAGATGCGTTTTTCTCTTTTTGTTATTTATTTGGCAGAGAATCTTGTCTCGCAGAAATCTTTCAAGTAAAAAAGTTTTAAAAATTAATTTCTTGAAAAGAATGATACTTCTACCAAACAGTGAAAATAAGAAATTTTTTGAACTAATAATGAAATACCAGTACCTAGTTACTCATAAGAAATAAATTTTAAACTAACACAGGTGATATTTTAGTTATGTTTTCCTTCACCTTCTTTTAACAAGAAATAGAATCGGCTTGTAATTTAATTATTTTAAATATATAATTTTAGTTCTGCTTTGCATTCGCTAAATTTTGCCTTCCTGCGGATAACGAAACGAATGACCAATTACAGCCGACACGCACTGGTCGCACCGCTAGTGTTTTACAAGAGCCGTCTTCCGACTTGAAGTATATTTGGTTTTACTTTGGTTACTAAGTATTGAATTCAAACTCTTCAATATGCAAGAAATTATGTATTAATATTTAGGAGATGTGAAGATGTAGTTGATGAAGCACGCAAAGTATGTAATCCCTTTCCGTCACCCAAAGACCGTTTCAATACTTACAGATGCAAACAGTTTTTGTCGCACTGTAAGAAGTACGTGGATTGGATTTAATAGAAACCAAGGCAATTAAGACTGTATTTATCGTTCTGTTAAAAAAAAAAGACCTAAAGAGTGAAAGCGGAGAAAGTAACAATTCACGTACCGAATTTCGGACCGCCTTAATCGTTCAAACAAATTTTATTTTTCACTGAGAACTTTTTGTAATGAATGTTTTATTGTAAAAAAAAGTGTACTTTTCATTATGATTTTTCTCAAAAGAACATTTTATAATAAAAAACCTACTTTCCATTAAATGTCGGAAATAAGCAGCAGTTATTATTGGTGGTAGACCCCCTTTTCAAAGACGGACTCTCATTGTGCAAATCACGATGGATTTCGAGAAGTTTTCTAGTTAAAAATGGAGATTTGGAAATGTTTGGATGTCATAGTGGATTGCTGAAACTTTCGTTACCCCCAGCATAGAGAAGAATTTTCTCCAAGAGGGCTGCTCCACCACTTTTACACAGTGGTTTTAATCCTTGGTCATCGCCTGTAAGTATAATGAAAGTAAATATGATATTTTATGAGTGGCGCCAGGGCTTGGTAATCCCGTACATTGTAACCAGGTATTGTAATGATTGAGGTCGAATGCTTTTTGGCAAGCCTAAGTCGCTGATTGGATCCCCTTGCGAATTTTACCCTATTTCACATTGTCTGGGTGAATCTCTCTAGGCTCGGCGCAAACCTTTTGCCATTTGAATGCGGTAGGTTTGCTCGGTGACGGGTAATTGATTTTCTGAAGAATACGTTCTGCATTAAAGTTCACTGAGTATTTCAAGTAGCATATATGGGACCATGACACTTTTGTTAGGGACTGTATGAATCCATTCACAATACAGGCTAGAAACCTCAAGCAGAACACAACAGTGACTGATCTGCAATCGTTACCGGAGTTGTTCCATCGAAATCTCAAAATATGGTGGACCTGACGTTTGCAAGTAGTCCGTCGTGATACCAAACATCCTCGGTTGTTACTTCTCCGGCTTTTTCACATAGCCATCGAAACGAGTCTTTGTGATCGAAACCTGACGTTTGGAGCGTTAATGCATTGAGATTTTGACCAGACATTTGTTGTTCAAGATGACCCTTCAGATACTCATTGGTAAAATAGCCGAATTTTGAAGGAAGCTTTGCCGAATTACCAACCATGATCAGTATCTGAAGACGCAAGTGCGAATCTCAGCAAATAGCAAGGGCTTAAACCAGTGAGATTTAGACAAATATAAAGCTGAACTGATGTTCTCTTGGTTGGGAAATGGATACTGTAGTTCTAGAGTTACAGTCTCCGCTTGAAAATTTGAAAGGGAAAAGGCTTTGTTTTGAAGATTTCCAGCAATTTTTGTACAATGTCACCTTGCTCTACCGAGGTTCGCTAAACTAGCGGCTTCCCAAAAGCTATACATATTTATATAAAGTTGGACAAAGGCCATTTTGTTTATCAGTGCTTTATCCGTTCGCTTCCAAAATTTGTCGTTTTTTGGCCTATTTTTCTGCCGAGATTTTAACAGAAATGTTACAGCGTTTTTACTTCGAACACATACCTTTTGTAAGTTTTTTAATTGCTGTTTGCAACGGCCATGTGAAGTATCTAATTTCAGGGCACTATCATTGAAAAAACTACACTTCACCCAAAATATGCTGAAAAAACCTAAACATTCCCATAAATTAGTGTTGTTGAGAATAGTAAGGGGTTTCATTCTGGAAAAGATTTTGAAATTTAGTTTTCTTGACAGCCCAAATATGGGATCTTAAAACGACTAAGATGGTTTTCTGTATTTTGTCAAACAATTTTGTTTTAACTCAACAGTTTTTTTTTCTTTGTTAACTACGAGTTACCAACTTCTTCAACTGGTACAGCTGCTTCTTGAATTATTAATGAACTTCACAAGTCTTTTTCTTAGAAATCCTTATTGCAAGGACATCAGCTAAGTGAAATAGTACAAATGATGAAGGCAGACCTCTGTACTACGTCTTTAAAACTCAATACAAAGTTGCGTAAATGTTTGTGAGCTCACGAGGTGTCAACACAGTGCGGCCGCAACTCTCCCATATAAGACGAGAGGACAGAGGCAAAGAATATTGAGCCAATGATAATGGCCAACGGAACAAGAAAAAGAAAAAGCTATTAAAAATTACTTATTTACTTTATTTATAACTTCCAGAGGTCAGTACCAGTTTTGCTTAGTTGATAACTTGTGCGTTAGCGGCCTTTTTAAAATCAACAATCACTTTTATCTTCATTTGGTACGCTTATTCTGCTAAATTACAGCCAACAATAAATCCATCCACACGTGGCTGTATATAAAATTGTAAAAGTAACCAATCACTTAAACTCAAGGAGAATTTTAAATCATTTCTGGCAAACTGTAACGATTTTGTTCATTTGAAATAAAAATACTCATAGGAAAAAAGAAATTATGCAACAAGTCACGGTAAGTGTATCTCAGAAAAAAAGCAGACGAAGAGCAATGCCGTAAATAGCAGGTGTAGAGTGATGAGCAAAATGAATCAAGGCAACACTATGCCTCCTAGCCAAAATGACTACATTAAAACATTGGATACTCCCTTATTGCTAGTCCCGTTGATCTGTTTTAAACTTAATAAAACTTAATCACCTACCATTCTGAAGTTTCCATTGAAACTCTTCCTACACAAGTAGACAGCTTGCCAATAAAGTATTCAAGTACGAAACAAAACAGAGAAAAAATAGTTAATTTTCAGTGCAGCGGTAAAACAATCTAATTACTAGCTGTTCATTCAACCTCATAAGGAAAAATGTTTACGAATATTCTGAAAAAAAAGTTTAGACTCTAATATAACTGACCTTAGTAAACCTATCCATCTTGAGGCTGTCCTCTAAATCAAGACAACAAATACAGAGATAAATCTGCGGTACACAGTAGTGCCGCTTAAGTTAAAAAGCAACAGACAATAAAAGAAAGAACCACTCTGTCAGTACTCCAACAGCCGACAGTCAAACAGACCTAAAGCACTATGTAACACTTATTATTCAGCAATTTTCTTTGTCGGTATTTCTTCCAAATATTTAATCACATCTGCTCGATCTTCAGCCCGTCTAATTCCTCTAAATATCATGCTTGTACCCGGTATAAAACTTCTGGGATTTTTGAGGTACTCAAACAGCGTGTCACGAGTCCAAACAACACCCTAAAAAATCTTTATTGTAAAATATTTCCATCCAATCGGTAGCTCTTTTACACTGATATCTAATTGTATACAAGTAAATTCTAAACTATATTCAAGAAACTTCTGCACCGGTTTACCTATAAGACTGCTGTTGCAAACCTTATTCTTGTTTGCTGCCGTATACGGATAATAGTCAACAGACCCTGCTTTTCTCCCAACAATGCCGTAGAGATGCGGACCAAGTCTGTTGACCGGAGATTCTGCTACATGGCAATGTGCACACCGCAGTTTAAAAACCCTTTTTCCTCTCTCAAAATCACCTTCTGGTATTTCTTCAGACATCTAAAAGAAAAGTATTTCAAAGAAACGCATCAAAAAAATTTCTTTACTACACTCTTGAATATAACTCTCTCTTACTCCTAAACAACGAGTGCTTCGTCCACTGGCTTTGACAAAGCCTTTAGTTATCCAGCTAATGTTGGAATTCGTAGAGCTCCTCAAATTTTCTGACTCACATACGCTCAATTACGTCTCCAGTCTGCTTAAATATAATTGGCCAAGCGAAAAACCACTCAATATGTCCAACTTTTACTGAGTACTTCTACATCTGCAGTTTCCCTTAAATTTTTCACAAACCCAATAAAAGACGACTTTCAAGGGAAAAGAACCATCTAGCGCCGAGAATAGTGTACTTAAAAAATCAAGAGGTTGTTGCAGAACAAAAATCCTCCTTCCTCTCTTGGTTAAAGAAGAACGATTTTGAATTTAGGTAAATTGCTTTAAAAAATCCCAAGCATTCATTATGTAGTCGCTCTTACCAGTGACACTCATTAACACTTCTCCTTAGAATAAAACAGTGATAATTAATCTTAAAAGTCTTTAAAATTCACTGTGAGACTAGTCCATTTGTTTCATCGGTAACCAGCTTCAAAAAACCATTAAGTTATTTTATCAAATTGATTAAAAATTAATTTCCCTTACCTTTCATGAAAGACTCATTTGCCATCTCACACTCAGCTGTCAAAAAACGCTTGTTGCAAACATAGTCGCTGAGGCAACTAGTAGACCAAAATAAGGTTAAAACTCTTCTACACAAACTCATCAGTTACAATCTTCTACTCTTTCCCAATTTCATTTCTGCAATTGGCCTGCCCAGTAGCAGCGTTTCTCACCTAGTACATATTACGATGCCATGTACAAAGCGTTTCCTAACTATTGGTCCATAGTTTGAAATGCCATATCTTCGCTTAGAATGATAAATATTTAAGTAACACTTGCTGAAATTCAGAAAACTTGTTACGGTAGAATAAGATGGCTTGACACTTTCTGCTCAATGCATAACCCAAATGACGATAGAAGACATTGTACTCAAATCTGATTTAAAACATGAATTAGAGCAAACAGAAAAAAGGTTGTATTTGACCAGTAGCTGCTGAGAACTTTAAATATCAAGTATTTCTCTTTTTTCCCGCAGAGTCTTATTAAGAAAGCGGTGTACGATGAGAAGCCCCAAACAGGATCGTTTGGGAACTAGAACTAAAACTGGTTTAGCTGAGTTAGTACAATACCGTGGCAGGTTAGCGTTTAAAAAAAATAGTCTTTTTTATTGCTGCTATGAAAAAAAATTAAAAAATCTTAACTCAGCAAACCATTCCACAGCAGAGCACCAGAGCTTAACGAATGCATTTTAAAATGTGTAAAATCTTGATTTTGAGAAAAGTTACAACTCTCTTAACTCTCCACCACAGTCTTAGAAATACCCTGGTAAATTTTGTTTTTGTAAAGTGCCAAAACTTACTTGCCTTCAGTAATAAATGGCACCTACTAGATACTGTCTGTCAATAACTCTGTACGTCAGAAAGTATTATTGCGTATCGTTTTAACCACCACCTGTCAGTCACGTGTAGGACCAAAAGAATAAAACCGTGAAAACCATTTAACCTAAATGTTGCACAAACTGTAAAAGAACGCAGGAATTTAAAATTTTAAGTTAACTTCCGCTCTGAAATCTTCTAATTACTTCTTCAAAGTCCAAATAAAACCATTTTCAGAAACTATGACTGAAATCCAATTCGTTTTATATTATAGGACTACTCCACACCACCTCCCTCCAAGTAAATTAACTCTTCGCCGAAGAACGTCAGTTGTCGCTCCCACCAAGCGTGGTTCACCTACCCTGCCACAGATAGAAAGCACATGGTTCTGTATGAATGCAACTAAGCGAGCCATAATCCTCCTAACAGAAAAAAGCCGCTGATTTTGGAGCGCGTTATATGCAGAAATAAATAAAACCAGTCGATCTTTCAGGCATGTCATACAAACTAAAACCAATCAGTTCTTATCCTGGGGATCCATAAAAGCAGTAGAATTCGGCCTGTAAAGTACCAAAATTCCTTCAGAGTAATTTTATAAAAACCTCCAAACTTTAAATTTTTACTTAACCTTGTCAACCAGTACTTCAAAATAATCCCACAGAAGTCTTAGAGGCGCAGTCACTGTCATCACAAGAGACAACAACATTTGCATCTTCTTCTCTTGTCTCTAACTACTGTCCTTGTTCGCTATAAATCCCCAGTTCCCTAGTTTTTCGGCCTCAAAAATGAGAGGCTTCAAGCGACGTAACCTCAACAAGCAACCAAAGCCAATAAAAAGGATCTTTGGCAAAAACTGCCTAAACCTGACACGCACCAACGAATAAACAACAAAACCTGAGTGTGCGAAACAAGATTCTACTGACTCATCATGGCTTTACAATCCCACTGCTTCCCCGTTGAGTAAACTTAACCACTCCCTTTCTATTTAATTAGAGAAACTAATTAAAGTTGGAACCAACTGAATACAAACACCGGACAATCAACGCAGCAATCCTAGAAACCGGAAATGGATCCTAGCTTAAACTTCTCGCGGGAATTATACCAAAGAACCATGTGTTTGCAGCGAATATGAGGCCTTACAGAACTTGACCTGTTACAGTAAGAATCTAGAAAACAAACAAATTTGCGAAAACACATGGGAATTTTCCCAGAGGATTTAAGACCCTCCCAAACCACGCTCCATAAACTAAATTTAGAAAGGCGTGGAACGTTTCCAAATACTTATTTCATAGTTTCCTCACTTCATCCAAGTTTTCACAGTGTCGATACAGGATAGGCCTGATAGAACTCTAATCAGTTCTCGCATTATATCGCCTTTAAAAACAACATTCTGAATGCAGGTCAATATTCATTTAACCTCAAGCAACTGGAATATAACTCAGTAGAGCTCAAAAGTGCTAAAAAAGACGAGAAGGGCAAGGACTCATAGCAGAATATACAGAGCCGGCGATAGAGCAAAAGCCTCTCTGATATAAAATCTTAAGGTGATAATAGAAAGAAGGTAGAGCCAATTAGACTGTAAAAAAAGGAAGAACCTTTCAGGTTACCCGATTAACAAAACCTACAAAAACGCCATGAGAACTGAAACTCTACAAGGTCCATGTGTGGAAAAGAAATCCTTAACTTTTTAAAATGAGAATTTCTTGAACCTTCTTGATGAAAGACGAATTAAACATAAGATAATCAAGCCAGAAATGAGTCAAATCTTTATGACGAAGAATTAGACAAACTAATTGAAGTGTAATCTTTTTCTTTAATAGACTCATCCACGTAAAAAAAAGCAAGTATTTTTTATCCCGTATCTTCCAAATGACTCCTGTCACTGACACGAGAATGCAGGATATAACCCAGTATCTGGCGCCGGAGTTTTGATAATCGCCTGTATCTCTTTGAATTTTGGATGGTCGGCTCCGCCAATCAAACCCAATATGACACACTCACTAGTTGTTACGACGGCTCCTGCTTTTTCTAACTGACGAAGCGCAAAGAACCTTAATGGGATAAAACCGCTGTTAAAAGACGTACCAATGAAGTTTACGACTAAGTTTTACAAGGAACTAAACTGAGTGCTTGATTTTTACAAAAATTAAATGTTCTTTTTCATTTTGCTAAACATAATGGCCTACGGTACGCTAGGATCAGCAATTTCAGTCAAATACATTGTGGATTTCTGTAAAATAAGTGTTTATTTTTGTCGCCAAGATTGAAACTTAGAAAAAGTAACACCGTTGACTGGGTTGACAGCAATATGTTCCATATGAAACTGCGCCACGTGCTATGTACAAAAAGAAAAACAAATGCTTTACAAAGTCCTCAGAAATAAGTTTTGGGATAACTGGATTTAGAAGTTGAAAACGCAGATTAAAGACGAACTGGTAAGGTGATCTAACCTATCAGTTTTCGATCTCGACGAAACAGCATTGGCAACGACATAAACATGAATCCCTCGTTCCAAAAGATCAAAAGCAGTATGAAGAACGCACACATGAGACTCAACTCCGCATAATACAGCAGAATCATAATGGTCGCCTATTTCCGCGATTACAGGTGGTATGCACATGCTAAACTTCTTCTTCTCAAACACTGTTACAGGGTGCTTTTCAATTTCCAATTCCTGCACAGTCCTCCCCAAACCTAAAACTAAACTTTTGAGACAACAGTACACAAAATTCATACTCTGATATGATGCAAATAAACGAAAGACATAACGAAATGACCTTTTGGATATTGCTCTGTTGCAATGACTTTCATACCAAGCACAATAAAAGCCGACAAGAGTTGTTTGCTAACTTCCACAATTTCAGCAAAATGTGCAACTGGAGCCCTAAAAACTACAAAGACAACTGTAAGCTCCATCTGTACATTAACCAGTACATTGCAGCAAACAGTAAACTAAACCTGAACGCTTCCTGAATATCGCACAGGAGCAAAACAGTTTTCTGCGACGTTAAACGATGAATGGCCCTCCGTTCTGTTGAACCCATGAGACCCTTAAACGCAGCCTTATGAGGCAACACACAGTGTCTAAGAAATCTATCCTCCGTTTACGAATACCTAAGATGCGCAAAAAGATAACCGAAGCACCCAATCTGACACCCAAACCAAACCACCTCCCGACCAGTCCATAACCAAACAGATGCAACAAGGCAAATAAGCCAATAATAAAGGCAGCTGTGTTTCACACTTCCATAAACTTCAGCCTTCTTCCCTCCTCTCCCTAAAAAGCGCTAAAAACAAAAAAATATCACATAGTAAGCCCCAATCCTTCAAAAATACAAAACTTCACCTCATTCCGATAAATTATTTGCAACAGATACCAATGAACCTGAACCAAAAACAATTTGACCTCTATCAGAAATACGTATACCACAGCAGTTGGATAGGCTCAGACACGTGTAGTCAACACAATTACAATTGAAATCAGCATACTAGGCAAAAACACTCGCCTAATCATCAGTTCACAACCCTTTGCTACCTTGAAGCCCAACTCAACACTCCGAAATACGCACGAGGAACAGCAACCAAACCTGCATCTTCCTCAACAAAACAATGTTCCATTACCTTCGCAATTCCTAGTTTCCAATACATCCAAACTAGTAATTTCTCTTTTTTGGGAAACAGTCCTCCAACAGCAAAAAACTCTTCCTCTTTGATAAAATATAAAGAAAGGCTGTACATACAGCAAGAAACGTTTTACAGCAACAGCACCTAATTTTAGGGCAGTTGAATGCACCAAGTCAAACAAGAAACATTACTGCATCTAAACAAAAGACCCAAGCTTCTTCATTCAAAATTATTTATCAAGGTAATCCTCCTGCTGTTCAGAAATAAAATCAATATTGTAACGACCTTGTCAGACACAACTTCAACAAGTATATGTTCTTTGACTTCCAAAAGTTTGTGTGCTATAAGCAACGAAGAATCACAGACACTAGTGGAAGAACCAATTTAAAACATGGTTCCCTGGAGATCCTACAAATGTAACAAAACAAACGTACAAAAGGCTACCCGAAGACTAAACAACTACAGATATAGATAACTAAGCTCAGTTTATTTTGAGTTGGCGAATCTGTGTGTAATCAGCAGAAGCCATAGACAAAGTATTGTTACATTCATTCTCAACTCGATACTTGCTCAGATAATCACTATTTATTCTACGCAAAGCTCCCGATAGAGGGTCTCTCACGGGAATAACTACTGCGACTTTTCTAATATAGTTCAGAAGAGAATTAAGATGATAAGAACTTTTCATCATACTGCTATTTCCTATCAAAATGAATTGTTTTTTCGCTCGAGTAACCGCCACGTTAAGTCTTCGTTTATCTTGCAAAAACCCGACGTCTCCTGAAATCTCAATGTAAACCTACGTAAACCAGGTCTTCTTAATGTTTTAACACTCTCAAACTTAACAAAAAACGAATCAATGCATAAAATTTACTACCTGAATAGTTATCCCGAACAAGTGACATAATTATTACTTCCTTCTGCTGCCCTTGGAACCCATCAACTGTTTTAGCAATATTTGCTCCTAATTTGTCCTTTAGGCACAACACCTAAAAGCATCCTATCGTAATGTAAAGTTTCAGCAACTAAAAGATATTAAGAAAACCAATCAAAAATACGGTTTAATTCAAAAAAAGGAAAAAGATATAAATGTAAGTGGTATTTGTACAAAAACCGAGACAAAAAAAATTCCATCTCCTCAAAAAACTTCTCCATTAAACAGAACACATTCCAAACGACACAGTAACAGAACGCGTAGCTTAAAACTCTAGATCAAACTACCACAATAAGAAACCTTCTTCTGATCATTTTCTGTAAATACTGAATGAGCTTATAAAATACGCTGACCTGAGCGTAATATGGTGTTATAATACCGATGTCGTCAAAATTCAAACCGGAATTGGTTAGAAGATTGACGTAGTCACTTACAAGTGTCGCCTCATCTGAAAACTACTAACAATTTATTTGTCCATTTGACACAAGCAATACGAACTACCAGATTACTTTTTTTCAAATTTCGCTTTTCACAACAGAAATTAATGATGATTTCTCAACAGAGCCTACTGGAAAAATAAAGCTACACTTGTAAAGTGCCAAGTTTTCTATTAAAAACCAGAGAGTTACACCTTACAAAATATACCAAAATATGTGTCACTAAATTAAACACCAACCTTTGTTCCTGTACGACATTTTATAGAATTCTTCTCGAGAAGTTCTTGATGGAGAGTAAGTGTCAAACATGATAACGGGTTCGTTTATTATACTCAAACGTGGTATATCACTTATTTCACTAAAAATGAATGAGTACTAGCAGAAGCCCTGCTAAAAATTAGATAAATAACCTGAAATTAATTTTCAAAAACCTTCTTTTTGAAAAACACGAACTCAAGACCAATGGTAATCGTAATAAAAAAACACTGATCTAGAGAGCAAATCAGTAACAATATGAGAGATAAGGCAAAGTAGAAGAACAATTTCAAAATGATTACCACTACGGCCTTTTAAAAGGTTGTGTAAATCCCGTTGTAAAAAATAAAAAAATCAGGTTCGCTACGTGGGATTTGTAATCTAACGTACATCGCAAAACGTACCAGAAAGTTTCAAGAATATGGAAAGGTCAATAATCTTTAAACATGACTTAGTCAGTTCCCAAACGCTCTAAAACCTATTTTAAAGAAACAGCATTAACAAGAGCGTAAGAAGAGGGAAAAACTCAAGCAAAATTTGGAGCCACAGAACGTCTTGAATAACCCATGAAAACATGTAAATCTCTGCAAAAAAAGACACAATGCGTGAAGTATCTTGCTTTTTCGCTTGGCCTGGCGCTATTAATAGTAAATGTGTAACTTGTTAGGAATAGGATATCCCGGTTAAGTAAATAATGGCCCATGGTACCAATGGCCAGTTTTATCAACCTCTACGTTTTCTGCATTTCAAATAAAAAAAAAACTAAATAATTGTAGTGACTTTCCCAAGAAAATTGTGGAGATACATAAGCAATACCAAAGCTTACCGTGAGTGAACCCCTCAGCAAATCTATTAAAAATCATTTCCTTCACATAATTAAAAGAAAAGCAAGCAGCTAAAAGAATCGCAATTCATACTCGATGTTTTCTTGTTAGACACCATAAATAATATATAAAAACCTAGGAAGAGGCAAATGCACTCAATAAGTATGATATATCTAAGGCCAGATTCGAGGAAAATTAACAGTTAATCACCTTAAAGTAGAATGAGCGACGGTTGGGTCTGCCTCCAATAACCCGTCATAAAATTCATTTGAAGACCATCTGAAAACAAATCTTTAAGCAAAAACAAATAGATTTGAAAGTATGTGACATGATCGCATGAAAAAAATTATAGTTTTGAAGATCTCTACAGTCAGTGTTTATAACAAAAACAATAGATTAAAATTTACTATCACTTACCCCATAATCTTTTCATTCATTCTGTATTGTACTGTCAACAAATGGCTCACCAAAGGTCCAAACTGCTTACACAATGTCTCCATTAAAGATACACCAAGACCACCTTTCTCTGCTCTGCATTAAACTTTTCATACGCCAAGTAACTATATCGATCATCAGACACACAAAACAAGACATAACTACGTAAACATACTCCGGTGAATGAACCAGCGCAGAAAGTTGATGGTGATCGCCAGCCAATACACAACGCTTCGCACACATCATAGCTAGCCAAGCCACACACTCATACGCTTGCGCTGCCTCGTCGATGATCATGATATCAGGTCTATAACCATAATTGCAAAATCGACGAAGCGCTCCACACATTAGGGTAGAAAAAATCACATCCCTCTCTTCCAAGACGCCCTGTACAAAGTTCATTTTCAGGTAATCATGTAAATAACAAAAACTAAAAAGGCTTCTTTACGAAGTAATGCTGTAGCCACAAGCCCAGTAAGGTCAGAAACATTGAAAATGTAAAAAATCTACCCAGAAAAAAGCAAACAAATTACTCTCTCAATGTCGCTTCGTAAAGTCTTTGCCTTCGACCGAAACTTGTAGTACTGCCATCGGTTTTTTGTGCCCAAATGCTTCCTAGCGTCATTCTTGAAAATGACTTATTTTGCGTTAGAAGAAATTAAAACATTAAAAAATTGGAAAAAAAAAGTCAAGAAGGAACCATCGCATCGGTCAGTTTCACTAAATCTTCATATTTAGAATCGTCCTCAACAAAAGCATCCAGCGACCCTTGAGAATTTAAACCGATTCGGCACGTGCCCACTTCATCTTTGACTCGGTCGAGAATATTATCTACAGCTAAATGAGAAGGAGCGCAAACCAGCACCTGAGAGAAAACTAATGGTAGTCAAAAGCAGTAAGATATTCAGCCAGAAAATGCTGTTATTCGAAGAATCAGACCTTTTGCTTCTGTCGTACGGCTTGGCGAATTATCTCACAAACAACAGCAGTTTTACCAGTTCCTGGAGGACCGTGAATTACAACAAATGGCCTCTGATCATTCAGTGCAGCATCGACCGCACGTCTCTGAGATTCGTTGAATGTCAGTGGATAAGGTGCATTAGTCAAATCTAAACTCTCATTTGTTTACTCATGATCACAACCGGAAAAACAAAACAAAAGGGGAACATTTGAATTTGAGAAAAGAATATGGCCCCACAGAAAGTGTTAGAAATGTCTAACAGCAAAGAATGAATAAAAAACAAGCGTCCCCTCAACAGGAATGGCAACACACCGTTGTATACTACGGGGATAGGAAGCGTACGATAAGCAACACGTAAAAGATCAAATCCCGGAAGATGCTTTGTGCGATTAAATCCCTTAAACAAATTTTAAAATTGCTAAGAAGTTAAAGGTCGAGTAAAAAACCGAAACTAATCAATAATTTATTACATGCAAAAAATCCTCAATCTTCTGAAGAGCTGCTGCATTTGATGAAGGAATTAGAGAGAAATACTTCACGTCTTGCGGCAAACTTTTATTCTCGGGAAGCAGCACTCGTATAACATTGTCAGAATAATTAAGAAATATGCATTGATTAATATGTTTAATGCTGCTATCCACACAGACAACCAGTGGGACTCCTAGCGAAATAAATAAAATATGAAACCTTGTCAGCTCGATAGTACCTTACAAACTGCATATGAAGGCGAACGTGCGTAAAACACAGTTGATAATAATAACAATTTTTGGAGAGGAAGGACAGTCTCAAACCGTTTTATGACTTACCCGTTTTGAAGTGCCTGGAAGATACAACAGCCTTGGCTGGTTTGAAATCAGCGAAATGACCAAGAACTGGATGATAAGACTCAGAAATTAAAGTCAAGTTACCCAAAGCGAGACCCCGCTCCAGGAGATCGTCCCAAGAATATTCCCTCAAGTACTGTCTAAAAAAAGCAAATTCAATCAACTCAAAACTTCTTAACAAACTCATAATAAAATTCAAATAAAACAAAAATAACGTCACCAACTTTATACTGTCCGTCTCAGCCTTGATTTCCAATTTGATAAGGTCCCGCCACATAGCCATTTTCTCTTGAAACAAGGATGGAGTCGCGATATCCACAACATTTCGTTTTCTTCTGTTAAACCTTCTACTGCAAAAGAATAGAAGACGTGTCGCAAAAGTAATTTGAAGCAAAACGACATGGTTTTTTAAATCAATTCTTCCACCACAACCATTAAAAGTTGAGCATTTCCTAACCATAGGGAAGCAGAAAAAGGCATTCTAAAATAAGAAAAAACTTCCAAAATACGAGTCCCATCGTAAAGTGGACCAACCCTGACGAATATGGACGCCTAGACTGATGACCAGAACTTCGCGGGTAACCGGGTTCAGCAGGTGAACATAGTGCCGGTGATATGCGTTGGCAAAATCCTTGGACACGAAGTCTCGAAGCCATCATTTATAAAAATTGGAGAACAAAATTTTGAATCCAACGAAAGAAGCGCCTCTGGAAAAAAAAAAAAAAGGACGATTACATAATATGAAGAACTTGATTTAGTTCGTTTTTTTTCCACTGATAACCTGTATAAAAACGTTGTCGAATGATCTCTCAAAATCGCATTTTAAGAGTTCCTTCTCAGTGGGACATTATCACTGTTTATGGTGCCCGGTATAAAACGTACTCTTTTCATCTATAATTTCCATTCACATCTTTCACGCACAGTTTTTATTTAATTCAACATACAAAATTCATACATGTATATACACCTTAAATGTAACGAGCAGAATAAACGATGGTCCAAAAATCCGTCTCAGATTATGAGCGTATAGTTAGTTAATCAAGGATCTATCAACTTTTTTCCACTACACAACGATGAAAAATTTCAGTAGTCTTCAGCTGGGAAGGATAAAATTTTACTGGCAAATTGCCAGCTATCTGTCTCCA